ATGTGCTTTACTTTTATATGATTGGCAGCCCAGTTGGTTTGCTTACCCCACCATTACCACAAAGGCAAGAGTAATGCATTGCACTCTGACATGGTGACTGCTACAATGTCACTAGGTGATAATTTTTTTTTGGCTCCACTATAATCTTCTGGGATCATTGTCATGTATGTGGCCTATTGTTGAATGAAACATTGTTTGCAGCACATGACTGTACTGTGAAATAGTACATTCACTCTGATGCAAGCTCAGGTATACCGGGCCAGCACCAAATTTTAAGCTCTTCTCCTCTCCTGCCAGGTGTCCAGCAGACCTCTAGAGCTGATGCCTTACCCTGCTGTGTTCTCAGAGGAGTGTCATCATTCAATATGTATAGGGCAAGGCATGATGACATGCAGGGGTCTCCTGCTTACACAATGAGTGAATAGTCGGTGGGTGAGGTCTTGAAGCAGAGACTGAAAATATCCTACTTATGCAATGAGACAACTTTTTTTTTTTTTTTGGTGAAAATTTAGCTCCTTTAGTCCAGCACAGTCTTTCAACATTTGCTTGATGGCTCTGACAGCAGTTTTGTCCTTGTCTACATGACAGAAACACTCTGAGCAACCATACTTTTGAACACCTATGATGGTGGAATTCATGTATACCAAAACAATAATAATAAAGCATAATAAGCATCTCTGAATGTAAGGTTCTGGCTAGAGGCTAGGGCTCAAACAGGAAAACATAAAGTTAAAATGTTATTACAAATTGTGAAGTATGTTTTGAGTAAAATGAACAAATGTCAGAGATAATCATAAGGGAGAGTGACCACCTAGGGACAGCCTTTCCAAGGAATAAGAAGGCAGGCAGTTGAAAGAAAGAAGAGTGGTACTGAAAGGTAGAGAGCAAAGGAGAGAGTGATACGAGTTAAGACTTGTGACCCTATAGGATGTAGCGTCCTAGAGAGCTTAAATGTAAATCTATGTGAAAAATGAAGCCATTTAAGTGAGAGAATGTTAAAAGATGAGGTGCCTCCAGAAACCAAACATATGCTCAGAAGTGGGCCAGCAAGGCAAGTGTACTTCTGCAGAAGGGTGCACTACCAATGGGAATCCAGCAAGCAAGCACACCTGGGCTGACAGTCTGCCAACATTTATCCTCAGCAAGGTATTGCCCCATGCTCCCAATAGGAAGAGTTCGGAGGTACTATCTACATGACTAGCTAGTTTAAAATTGGGGTGGGCACAAGGGAAGGGCTACAACTGTGACTGGGTACTTTTTACAGAATTTTTAAATAATGCCACTTTGGTCACATGGTTTCTAATTTCAAAATGGCTCCACCTTAATCACATGATTCCTTAATTTCAAGATGGCTTCCTTCTGTCCATATGATTCCCTAACTTAAAAAGGCTCCATTATACACATGAAATTTAAGTAACCATGTTTGTATTACATTAAGGTTTAACTTTGATAGGAAATAAAACATAAGAATAACATGAAATCACTGGAATTCCAAGGATATTCTTCAAAGTTTGTGGAGAGTGGTTTGTAGAAGGCAGAAGAGGAAGCAGGGGAACTAGTAAGGAGGCTACCTACCGCCTGTGTACAATGGGTGTGGGGAGGAATGGCAGGTTTCTCTACCCAATTGGAGGAGGAATCAATATGACTTCCTATTGGATTCATGCAGCAGATGAGAATAAGAGAAAGCAAGCATAACTGTTTATGACTCTGGCTGGAGAGACTGGTCTATGGTGGCATCATTAACTAACATAGGGAAGACTGAGAGGAGAATCTATTTGTAAGAGTGAGTAGGAATCCATTTGTTATTGTTGGGATGTCCAGTTTAATTCCAGGTCCTTGGTGTCACAAACAAAGAATTGAGCGAGACACACAGAAGTAACAGAGTACAGATTTATTGAAGGTGAAGATAGCACTCCATTAAGTAGAATGGATTGGGCCAAGCAAGAGAGAGCCTCAAGGCCCCATGTCTGGAAATTAGGGTCTTATATCCCGAACTGTGGGACATTCTCTTCCTTATTGAAGACCTTACTCTATTTTCTCCCATCTTATGATACCTGATTAGAATATTTTCTAATTTTCCCCCATTGGTTATTTTAGAAAACCTAATTAGAATACTGTCCACTTTACTTCCATTGGTCATTTTAAAATTTGAAACTGTGGCAGGAGTTGTCATGGTGATAAGTCCCCAGTGGCAGGAGTCGTCATGGTAATGGGATTAATTGTAAATAGGGACAGGACTCCTTTCCTCATCTTGTCCTCCAGTGGCTTCTTTCTAACTCCCTATCTTGGTCATCTTGGTGTCCCTGAACTCTTACCTAACATATTAAGTTTTGTAATTAGGTTTTAGATGTTTGTGAAGCAGACAAATACAGAGATCCAGTGGAAAGCTAGAATATGTACCTGGAACCTGGTGTGTGTGTGTGTGTGTGTATGTGTGTGTGTGTGGGTGTGTGTGTCCCCTAGAGGCAGAAGTTCAGTAGTTGTCAACATAAGGATGTCATTTAAAGCTGTGGGAATGATGGATGGGGTCCTCAGGAGAGTGTGGTAGGAAATGGGAGGGCAAAGGCCCATCCCCCCTGTACCCCCCTCCCCCACTCAAGTCTTCTTCAGATATCCTAGTCGTTTCTCCTTTAGGCTTCATGCACAAATGATATATTTCATTTCATCCTTCTCACACAGGAGCCTGATGGCCCTCAAGCAAGTGGGCCAGCTCTGGTCATCCTCTCAGAAAGCCCAGGTCCCTTGCCCCCCCCCCTTCTATACTTTTCCACTTAATTTCCTTCATCCACCCTCAAAGTTAACAAAAGATCTTTATGATAAGATAAAAGGTAAGTAGGAAGGAAGGAAGAGTGAAGGCAGAAACCCCAAACAACACTACCATCACCATCAATCAAGCAACTAAATCAACAAAAAAACTATAGCCTGAGCTCTCAGAAAGATTGCCCTTCTGGCTGTCTTGGGAGAGAATGTACTGTCCCCTTATTGGCCTTTGGGGTGAATCATGCTTCCAGTCCTCTGTGCTTCAGTGTGGCAGTCTGTCTGTCTGTGTGAGGCTTAGACCACATGGAAGGCTAAAACAAGAGAACTTGACTGGCTTTGGACCAACTACGACCACTTCTGGACGAGCATGTGCTCAATTGAAGATGAGTCATGAAGTCGATGTGTAACTATGAAGGCACTATGTAGTGAGGTGCATGTGCTTCAAAGACCCCATTGTGTAATTATCTGTCTTTTTTATGTTAAGCAGTCAGATTTTTCTCTTATCTTTCTGCAAAAAATCCTTACTCCTGGAAGATTCACCTTCCTACCTACTCTGACCAATAGGTCCAAGACTAAGCCAGAAGCCAATTCCTGTACCAGAAAGAAGCAAACAGGAAGTGCCCTCACTATGGCTGTAGGTTACCCACAATACTGAGGTTTCCTTTTGGTGTTTTGCACCTCTGCTTCTGTTCGTTTTGCCCTGCCCCTTTCCTTCCGGTACAGTGTCAAGCCTCTTCTCTGGCCTTCTTCTGCCATGCTTAACTTCACTGTTTCTCATCTTCCCACTCTTTTCCCTGACTAGACTTTCTGTACTGCTCACACATGTAGTTTGATCCCCAGTTTGTCCTGATGCTTGATTTGTTCATGCATCTGAACTCCTGGCTCCCTGTCAAGTTACAGATCTGCTGTGCAACCCAGATCCATAACTTCTGCATATTCTTTGCTCTCAGCCCCAGTTTCCTGCATGTCTTTATGCTGAGCCACCACCCCCACAGTTCCTCTGCTGACATATAATGAACATACCACAAGAGTGCTTTTTGTTACATGACTGCTTTAAATACCTGGATACTGTGGTTGTGCCACCTATTTTATGTATTTTGTGACATTTTGGCTAACCAAAAAATACTCCCGATCTGATTTCTCCCTATCGAGAGGATCTATCTCCTGCAGCTTTTCCCGGATGGTCAGCATTTATGTGTATCACTACTCCTAACCAGGATTGCCTTTGATTCTTAAAAAGTGTTTTTTTTTTCCTGTCCTAGGAATGTCTACTTTGTATTAGCTCATCACTCAGAGCTGCCTGGAGGCCTACATCCATTTGGCATGTGCAAAGAGTAAGGCAAGGGTAGAGAGTAATAAATTGAAGGAGGTTCAGCCTTGACTGATGTTTAATATTGTCAATCTCAAGAGCAGCATTAATGTAACTGTTTACAGAAAGGATGTGTGGTTGTCATTACTGCTGTAGACTACTGTATGTTTGGTCTCCTGGGTGCACGTGGTTCACTCATACTTCCTCTCTCTAAAAAAGTTAGGCATGACCATGTGACTTGTTTGGACCAAAAAAAAAAAAAATATGAGCAGAAGTGATATATGTTACTTCTGAGTAGAAGAAATCACTGTATACTAGAACACTTCCTTTTTTTCTGCCAAGGTTATCACCATCCAATAGAAATACACTGCAAGCCACATAATAATTTTAATTTTTTTAGTAGTAATGCTAAAAAGTAAAAAGGTTAAATTAATTTTAATAATATCATTCATCTAACCCAATATATCAAAAAATCATTTCAACAGGTAATCAAAGAGTTACTCATGAAATATTTTACATTTTTTTCCTATTAAGTCTTTTAAAGGATGCATTTTACAGGTATATCTTAAGTCAGACTAACCATATTTCAAGGACTCAATAGCTAGATATCATTTACTATATGTAGCTAGTGAGTATCGCTATCTCTTGGTATTCATGGGCAATTGATTCTAAACTGACTCACAGATACCAAAATCTTCAGATGATCAAGGGTCTTAAATAAAATGGTATTTTCATATAACCTCTGCATATCCCCCCATATAGTTTAACTCACCTCTAGATTACTTATAATGCCTAATAAAATACAAATGCTATGTCAATAGTTGTTATAGTATAATCATATGATATTAGTATATTTTTTAAATTTGTGGGTTTTTTTATTGTTTTCTCACAAATATGTTCAACTCTCAATTGGTTGTAACTGCGGATGAAGAACCAGTGGATATGGAGGGCCCGCTACCACATTGGGCAGTGCAGCCCTCAGCATCATGCAAGCACAGACAGAGCCTACCTCCACGTAGCTCTCAAGGGAAGGCAACACTGAACCAAGACCACATGGACCTGCAGTAGCTACATAGGTGAGAGTGATATGTAGCCTTGGCTGTCTTCATTCATGGAGACCTTAGGATTATCTGTTGCTGCAGCATAACTTAGTAGAGAAATTGATATGAGGTGAAATACCCATATAACAATAAGCTGAAATATCTGGTACAGGTTGAGAATTCGAAATCTGAAAATCTGAAATCTGAAGTCTAATTTGGAACAATTCAAATTTTAGATTTTTGGATAAGGAACACTCAACCTCTAAAATATATGCAAATATTCCAAAATCGGAAACATTTCTGGTCCCAAGCATGTTGGATAAGCAAATCTCAATCTATATTAGCTCAGGGATCAAGCAACAGGTAGCAAGAAATTCTTACCAACTAGAAAGTAAGTAGTGAGAAAACATTTGGTAAATCCCTCACTTTTGAAAACTTACAAGGTTGTCAGAATGCACTTGTGGTTTAAGGGAAAAGGTCGGATGACTGAAAATGTTAGTAGTATGTGTTAGTTTCTGTGTTTATCAAGGTATTACAAATAAAAAGTCATCTTAGAAGAAAACTGCTTTTTGAAAGTAAAAATAAAAGGAAATAGGGATTGTCCAAAAAATGTGGGACTTGTATGACAGAGGCTATCTCACTGAGTTGCTTAGTGCCTTGCCATTGCTGAGGATGGCTTTGAACTCACAATCCTCCTGCCTCAGCCTCCCGAGGCGCGGAGATTACAAGCGTGTGCAATCATGCCCAGCTTATTAACTTCTTAATAGTCTCAAACAGTAAAAGATGAAATTGGAAAAAGAGAAGGTGATAGGAATCATCCTTTCTATCTACAATACCACCAGCCTTGCCACTTAATCAAACTTGAATCTGTGGAGGCTAATTTATACAAGTCTTACAAGTCTTTCAGCCTGTTAAGTTTGGTCATCCCAGGAGGGATCAGAATCTCAAGTGCTATTGTCTAACTGTTTGTGTTCCCCTCAAATTCATGTGTTGAAATCCTAATGTCCTGGGTGATGGTATTAGGAAGTGAGGTCTTCGGAAGGTGATTAGATAATGGGAGCAGAGCCTGAATGAATAAGATTCGTTCTGTTATAAAAAGAGGCCCAAGACAGACCCATTGTTTCTTCTGCCACGTGAGGTTAGAGTAGGCTGACAACTATCTGTGAGAAAGCGGGACAGCCCCCAAACACTGAATCTGCTGGAACCCTGTGCTTGGACTTGCCAGCCTTCAGAACTGTGGTAAATGAATTTCTGTTGTTTATAAGACACCTCGTTTGTGGTATTTTGTTAAGCAGCCCTAGTGGACTGAGAGACCACGCCTTCTCATCTCTACACACTGAAGTCCTTGAGTGAGTCACCCACCCCCAGCTCCTGAAACTCTTTAAGTTCTCTTCTATTTCTGAAATACTCTAAGTAAAGCCCTACTGATTCTCATTATTTCATGTTTCCCAGTTTCTAAAATTTGAATATTAATGGTACATCATCATTTATCATCATACTCTTCCCTAAATATTCCATATATGTTCTTGCTCTAGAGAAAATCTCCGAGTTCTTCCCCAAGGACTCAGATTTCTCTGTCTTCAAGAAGTAACTGCATATTTCCCCACAGCTTTCATACCTCCACAGGTCTTGTAGGTATGGTAAATGTCCTCCATAATTCTCCTTGCTGCTTTCCTACAATTCTCATCTTTTATTCTCAGCTTTGAATCTTATGTCATCAAGTTGGAGCCTTGGTTATGCTTCACTGTTGCTGTCTCATGTATATCCCTAGGCAATAGTCCTGATTTTTCAGTTTTATCTCCTGCTCAACAATACATTCTACATAATTCCCTCTTTTTTATTTCAAAATATACTTACATAGTCTTTCCAATGAGTCTGGCCTTTTAGTCTCTTGAGCTGATCTGGTCTTTGCCTCAGCTAGTCATCCCATAAGAATCTCAGGCTTTTCCAATATCGAGAACTGTATATACTCCACAATCTCATTTATAACATCCCCAACTCTGAGCACCAGAGAATGGAGCAGTTCCTCTAGAACTCAAACTCTTCTTTAATAAAATAATCTCAGCCTATGGATTTTTTTGTATATATGGGTGTACCATATGATAAATGAGAGAATGAACAATTGCAACAAAAACATTTCAAGAATCTTCTCTCTGAGCCTGACAGCAGGGCTATTAACCTGTTTTCCAAAATATTACATCATCAAATCTATCATTTATCCAATTTTCCCCAGACCTTTTTTTTTCACCCAACAATATCAATAATTAATTTAAATATAAATGAACTATAGATCATAATTTAAAGGTATAAATGTTCATCATGTATAAAAGCAAACAATAACTATAGGTTCTATACATATGTTACATTCTAAATATCAATACACCAGTAGGTTAAAAGCAAAATAAGGAGAAAATAAGCATGAGAAATCTGAAGTAGAACTATTAATATAAAATAAATTTTAAGAAAAAATATTTTCAGAGGTAAAAGGGAACATTTTATAACCATAATAGGGTAACTTCTTCAAGAAAGTACAACAATCCTAAATGTGTATGTACCTAATAACAAAATTTCAAAATACATGAAGTAAAAATTAATAAAACTAGAAAGGCAAATTCACAGTCATATTTGGAGAATTTAAGCCATCTCACTTTGCTAGAAGGAGTAATGATATAGAAGGCTTAACAACATTATCAGCCACTTTGACCTACTTTTATTTACAGAGAACTATACACAAAAATGACAAATAGAAAATTAATAGGGATAGACTATATTCTGTGGTAAAATGAGCTTTGAGAAATTTTAAAATGGATAATCATGCAGATTATGTTTCCTGCATGATTTATTACATTAGAAATCAATCACCTTAAGATATATAGAATCACCCCCACACATCTAAACTACTTCAAAATTAAATGGCACACTTATAAATATATCACAGATCAAAGAAGAAAGCACAAGAAAAGTAAATAAAAAGTGCTTGAACTAAGTGACAATAAAACCTTAAATTGTCAGAATCCCTGGGACAAAATAGTACTCAGATGAACATTTATAAGTTAAAGTATTTGTATCAGAAAGAAGCTAGATTAGCAATCAAATCAAATTATTTTCAATTTAGGTAGTAGAAAGGAAAATAAGAGTATATGTAGAAATATGTGAAGTATAAAAGAAATAATACAGCTAAAAGTTGATAAAAATCTAACAAGTCTAATCAAGAAAAAATTAATATACATTAATAAAGAGAGCTCTCAAAACAACCTACACATGCTAAAAATGCATGAAGGTAATATTAAAATTGTATAATTACAATTACATAGCTTATATAACTTTGTTTATTTTAGAGGATGGAAACCCCTACTTGTTTACAGAATCCATGTGAATGATGTTTTTTTTTTCCCATCCTTTCACCTTTAGTCTGTGGCTGTCTTTGCTTATGAGGTGAATCTCTTGGAGATAGGATATTGTTGAGTTTTGTTTTTTAATTCAATCTGCCAGGCTATGTCTTTTGATTGATGAGTTTAGGCCATTAATGTTCAAGGTTATTATTGATATGATTTGTGTTCCCAGTTATTTTGGTTTATTTCTAGTTTTTAATTTGAATTAATTCCTCCTTTGATTGATTGTTCCTTTAATGTAGTTCATCCCTTCACTGGTTTTCATTTTTTTTCATTTCATCTTCATGGAATATGTTTTTGAGAATATTCTGAAGTGCAGGCTTCCTGGTTAAAAATTATTTTTATGTTTGTTTATCATGGGAGGTTTTTATTTAATCTTCAAATCTGAACCTTAATTTTGCTGGATATAGGATTCTTGGTTGGCATCCATTTTCTTTCTGAGCTTGGTATATATTATTCCAGGTCCCCTAAGTTTGAGGGTATGAGTTGGCAAATCAGCTAAGATTTGATGTAATTCAATATTTTTCTCTTGCAGACTTTAAAAAATTTTGTTCTTATTCTATATGCTAGGCATCTTCATTAAAATGTGCCTTGATGTGTGTCTGTTGTAATTTTGCACATTTGGGGTCCTGTAAGTCCCTTGTATTTGGTTTTCCATTTTGTTCTTTAGATTTGGGAAATTTTCTGATATTATTTCATTGAAAAGTTTGTGCATTCCTTTGGTTTTTAACTCTGTGCCTTCATCTATCCCAATAAATCTTAAATTTGGTCTTTTCTGTGCCTTCATCTATCCCAATAAATCTTAAATTTGGTCTTTTCTGTGCCTTCGTCTATCCCAATAAATCTTAAATTTGGTCTTTTCATGTTATCCAATAACACTTGGAAGTTCTGTTCATGGCTTCTTATCATCTTTTCTTCATGGTCAACTCTTTATTCAAGATTATATATTTTGTCTTTATTGCCCAAGGTTCTGTTTTCTAAGTGGCCTAATCTGTTGGTGATGCTTTCTATTAAATTTTTAATTTGGCTTATTGTTTCCTTAATTTCAAGGATTTCTGTTTGTTTGTTTTTCAGATTCTCTTTTTATTAAAGTGATTTTTTGCTACCTGTATTTGTTTACATCATCCTTTACTTCAGAGATCAGTTTAACTATGTACATCCTAAATTCCTTCTCTGATATTTCTTCCTTTGTGGTATCGATGTATTCTGTTATTGGAGTATTTGGTTTGCTTGGACAATTTGTTTCCTTATTTTTTCATGTTGTTTGTGTGTCTACCCATCTAAAGTATGGACCTGAGGCAGTAGAGTTTCTACCCTGTGGACTTACAATGTCCCTGGAGGTTTAAGGGGAGACAAATAATAACAAGAAACAATTCAAACAATTTACAGTTTAAGCCAAACAGTTTCCACTGTGACATCCATATGTTAATTGTCACAATAAACAGAAATGATATGATCAGTTGTGCCTGTAATAAAAACAGAAAGTTTGCAAAATGTTTACATTTTCAAATTGTGGATAGGGAGAGAACAGAAATGATATAGGATGTGATGATTCTGAGGGAAGAAGAGAGAAGACAGAAGTAAAAGATTAAAGGAAGAGTGAAAGAACAATACAGATTGGTGGTTAGCAGAAGAAAAGAGAAT